CATTACACAGCTCCAGAGGGGGAAGGAAGGGTGGCCTCGCCCGCAAAACACCCCACGCACCACAGAAATGGGAGGGGCGGGGGAAATTTGGGGGGGTTGGAGTCCACCCATCTTCAAGCTGCCAAGGTTGAGAAACACTGAAGAGGAAGATTTTTCCCATTCAGTGAATCATCAAGGAAGGGAAACTCTACAGAAAGAAAGCTGTAGTTCAGGCGTTGTGTGAACTGTTACCTGGAGAAGAACAGGAAGAAGCATTTCTGAGCCTGGGCCATGCTTTCAAAGTGCTTTACACGTACAGCCTTATGGCAGAGGAGTTTGTGGAACATGGTCCAAAAAGTCAACATGGTGGTCACAACAGTGCAGCTGAAAGTCCGATATATGTGCAGGCTGAGCTCCAGTTGCACCGTCGTAGTCGCCATCTTGACGTTTTGGACCATACCCTGCGGATCCCCCTGGAAGGCTTTGAGTCTTCACCCTGAGGGCGTCCGGGCCGACCTCCCCGACGGCCCATCCGTGCCCATCGTCCACCCGCGCCCACCGCAGCTTCTCCTTCTCCTCCAGTGACCGACCTGGAGATCAAGTTCCAGTACCGCGGCCGCTCGGTGGGGGCCCTGACCATCAGCAACCCGCACGGCTGTCGCCTTTTCCACAGCCACCTGGAGCCGACGCAGGAACAGGTGGAGCTCTTTGGGCCGGTGACGCTGGAGCAGGTCCGCTTCCCCAGCGCCGAGGCCGTGCCCAACGAGAAGCAGCGCTACTACACCCACCAGCTGCTCGACGTCTTGGACCGGGGCCTGATCCTGGAGCTGCAGGGGCAGGACATCTACGCCATCCGGCTGTGCCAGTGCAAAGTGTTCTGGACCGGCCCCTGTGCCGGGGAGCTGGCCGGGCCCAACCCCATCGAGCGCGAGAAGAAGGTCAAGCTCTTTAGCCTGGAGAGTTTCCTCAACGGTGAGGAGGGGCCATGGCCGGGCCCTCAGCGGGTGTAGGTGCCCCCAGGGGGGAGGAGGAGGATGGACTCTGTAGCTTCACCCCACAGGAGACAGCTGGGAGGGAGACCCACAGAGGTCTTAGCACGGGAGAGCAACTTGGAAGGTTGCAAAGTACTGGATGTGCGCCCTCCTCGAGTCAAACAGAACGGGGGAAATGTTGACTTTGTGTTCCCACACGTTTTGGTTTCAAAACAATTGTGGACAAGACCCCATCTTGTTGGAGTCTTAGCCCGAGGGGGAACATATTCTGGCTGTAGAATATGCAGATCTCTAAAGAGATGGATGGATGGATGGATGGATGGATGGATGGATGGATGGATGGATGGATGGATGGATGGATGGATGGTCGGTCTGTTGATTCGATGCTCAAGGTGGCTCCCAAGAATTAGGGCCAGCGCCATCAGAATGGCAACAAACTTCATTACTGGGCCATTTATATTGTGTTTTAGGTTAGGCTAGGTTGTTACGTGATGCATTTATCACAGCCACTGTAAAGGACTGAGGCTCAGAGCGGCGCTTCCTCGGGTCGCCTGGCGAGATCGCATGGCTGCTGCTTATCTGCAGGGCCTTCCGACTTGCTCCTGACCTGCTGTATCAGAAAAAGCCGGCTTGGCTCTGCCGGTGGCCCCAGCGAATGGGAACCTTGGCAGGAAAGGCGAGCGCAAGCAGCACTGCTCTGCTTTTTGTTGGACCTTCCACTTCCTGAACTTGGGGAATAATCCGGGGCGTTTTCGTCAGTCCCCCAGTTGCAGTTTCTGGGTTTCCCCCTCACATTCAAACTCCTGTGCGCCTCCCTGCCAAAGGGAGCCACTGAGCATTTTATCCCTACGGTTCAGTCTTCTAGAGGAGGTTTGGATGAGCCCCCCCTTGCCTCCCCCAGGGCACAAATCCAGTTCTGGGCTCCCCTCGAACGCATCCAGCAAAGAAGAGCCGTCTGCTTGACCAGATCATTGGTTTCCCCATCAAACAGCATTCACAGTTAGGAAGCGTTTTCTGACGTTCAGAAGTTGCCTTCGGTTCTTCCATGGCCTCTGCCTCCTTCTGGGTAACATCAGAGGGGTCTTTGTCCCTCCTGCTGAGACGTGGCTTTTTCCCTGCCTGTAGGACTCATCATGTTCCAGAAAGGCCAGACCCCCACCCCTCCTCCCTACGAGATCTTCTTCTGCTTTGGAGAAGAGTGGCCGGACCAGAAACCGAAAGAGAAAAAACTGATCACGGTCCAGGTGGGTATTTGGTTAGAGGAGCGCTGCGTTAGCCAAACGTCAAGAGGAGCCTGGTGGCGCCTTTTCAGATTTTAGTAAACGGCAACAGATGAAGTGAGCTGTAGTTCACAAAAGCTGGTGCCTTTTAATCAAATTTGCTGGTCTGAAAATGTGCTACCAGGCTCCAGAGCCCAGGTGTGTAACTCTTGGGCACAGCTACATGGCCCAGTTCACACAATCCTGCACTTTAGGGGTGCAGCTCGTCCCTCGGGCCATCAGAAGGGCCTCTAGCACGGTGCTTCTCAACCCGGGTCACTTTAAGATGCGTGGACTTCAATTCCCAGAACTCCCCATGCTTAAAGTGCTGGCTGCAGAATTCTGGGAGTTGAAGTCCACACTTCTTAAAGTGACCTAGGTTGAGAAGCACTGCTGTAAGCTACAGCTAAAAATTACTCTCCTCCCATCTCACACAGGTGGTTCCAGTAGCTGCCCGGCTCCTTTTGGAAATGTTCTCCGGAGAGCTGTCCTGGTCAGCCGACAGCGTCCGCCTGCAGATCTCCCACCCGGACCTCAAAGACAAGATGGTCCTGCAATTCAAAGAACTGCACCAGCTCTGGCAAACGCAGAACATGCAGGTCCCCCACCTGGAGCCAGTGGGTCCCAGCAACTGGGAAATGCACACCGGCAGCAGCATGCAGCAGTGAGACGCCATCCCTGCCCCACCCTGTCCAGTGGGACTTTCACCGCACCGTCCTCCTGTGCGCTGCAAAGCCCAGCCAGGCCCATCCAAAGTCAGCCTGGCCTCCCCTGCCCCCCTGAGCCGTTCCCACGGGAGGGGGCAGGGAGGGGCTCCCGGCAAAACCTGGCTCCGCTTGCGAGCACCACAGGGAAATTCCTTCGGATGGTTTTATGAAATCCATAAAGAGCGTGTCTCAGGGAAGCCCGTGGGCACCCCAGAGGATGCTCGCGGGAGGTGCGCTAGCCAGACATCTCCTGCTGCGTGGACGCCAAAGCGAGAGGACAGAAGTTGTTTGGGGGTTGCATGCAAGTGGGAAAGCTTTGAACTCTGGACCAGACGTGCCTTGTTTGGAAGAAAGGAGCTGCCTCCCGCAAGAAATGCCACCTGGGGAACTGGATCAGGATTCGGGGTGGCGGCTGTGTTGCAGGTTTGGGCCTTGGAGAACCAAAATCTTGTGGCCTATATGAGGACTGCCTGCTTCTGCCCCCACGTCCATCACGAGGAGGAGGAAATGGGGAACGGCAGAACCCTTCG